CAGGAATGGTTTTCTCACTGAGGACGTCAGACGTGCAATCCGGGTGGCAGCGCAGAAGGTGAGTACCTGGCAAAAGCAGGGAGATTTGCACCAGGAGAGGCTTGCAGGAACTCCTCCTGGAGACCCAAAGAAAGAAATCCTAGACCTTCCACCAGCTCTGGGATGACTGCCTGCTCCCAGTAGCTCCACAGAGGCTCTGGGACAAGCAAACGTCTCGTGTGCCCAGACGATCTGCGTGGTGTGTGCCAGGAATACCCACAATCTGTGCCCTGCCCGGAGGTGTGGGGCTGGCCATGCAGGCCCTGAGCCTGCCTCTGAGGGGGCTGCTGTGCTCTTTCCAGCACTGCTTTGTTTGCGACGAGATGGGTGCTGCCATCACCTGCCAGGAGAAGAGGTGCAACCGCAACTTCCATCGCCCCTGCGCCTCAGAGGGTGAATGTGTCACCCAGTTCTTTGGGCTGTACAGGTAAGTGCTGCTGGCCCTCATGGAGGATACTCCTCATCTTCAAGCCCACTCTGGTCAGCAGTGGACACACAAGTACGGACACTTCCCAGCAGCCTGCCACAGCCGCAGCCAGAGCCTGGACAGGCTCTGGGTCTCCTTCACAGCTCCCCTGCCCTGCTTGCCCTTGCTAGGGGAAGACTCGGCACTTGTTGCCTCATATCGCCCATCCCTTCCATCTTGCCACCAGATCCTTCTGCTGGGAGCACCGCCCAGAGCAGGCAGTGGAGGCCAGTCCAGAGCAGAACAGCACCTGCATCATCTGCCTGGACCCTGTGGAAGACAAAAAGTCTTACCGCACCATGCTGTGCCCAGCATGCTGACACGCCTGGTTCCACCGGAGCTGCGTCCAGAAACAGGCTATGCACGTTGGCATCCGCTTCCGCTGCTTGCATTGCCAAAATGACAATCAGTTTGTGATGGAAATGCTCACCATGGGGATTCGAATCTCCAACAGGTCGTTTTTTCTCTGCCCAGCTCACAAGACCTCAGGCACAAGTGCAGTGCCCTGCTGTCCCCTGACTCCTGTCCTCAGCTTCATGGAGGAGCTGGAAAGGGGGTGGAGGCAGAAGAGCAGGGATGCTCTGGATCTCCTGATGCTGGGGCAGCAGGGGTCCAACACTTTTCCCTTCCTTTTCCAGCACACAACCGTCGTGGGAGAGAGACCAAGAATTTGGACTGCTATATCAGAGGCACAGCCACTGCAATGCCAGCACGTGTCTTTGTCCGGGAGGCAGGGAGCAGGCAGAGGAAGAGGGGTAATTTGCCAAAACAGCAGTCTAGGGCTCTGTGTCTGCCCACAGGCTCGAGGCGGAAGGACTAATAACAAGAGCTCAGCAGGGCAATCCCTGGCTTACCTCACTTTGTCCTCACAACCAGCAACCTGTTTGCTTCCCCAGGCCCTGGCAACTGCTCCTGTGCAGCTCCTGTGCTGCCGAAGGCACCCACCGACTCTGCTCCTATGTGGGGAACGGTACAACCATCTGGGAGTATGACGGCTGTGCTGGCCTGGGCACTGGTAAGAGGCAAAGTACCTGGGTGCCCCTGCGCTGGGGCCAGAGCCCAGGTGAGGCCTGGTAACAGGGGTTTAAGGTGGGCTTGGCTCCAGGAGGGCTGTGGGCACCACGATGGCTTCTCCTGTCCTGGGACTGGGTGACCATGCTGCTGAAATTCCTGCCTCCCTTCACAGCCTTAAGTAACAATTCAGAGCTTGCGAGCACCAGCAACAGCCAGGTGGCACTCAACCTGCTCCAAGGCTCCCCAGCACCTGTGAAAAGCGGCCGCAACACCGCCAGCCAAGCACCACTGGGGTCGTCCCACAGCCCCGTAGTGCCGGGAAGCAGCAGCCGCTCCAGCCACCCTGGGCCGATCCGGACACGGCATCGCACACAAATACAACAGCGGGCACAAAAGCCATACAGTCATCCTGGAAAAGGCTGTGGGACTAGCCTTCTGCCAGCCCCAAGTGCTGGCCCTCATCCCCCTGCACAATAAAGTTGGCTACTCATCTCATGTGACCTGGAAGATCCCACGCCCATTTGCCTATCATCCTCCTTTGCCTTTCTTGAGGAGCGGCACTGGGGGCTGGGGCTGGGACTGGAGGGGGTTGTCTTCCCTAAGATTGGCTGTGCCTTCCTCAGACCTTCCTCCCTATGGAGGGCCAGCCTCCTCCTTGGTTGGCCATCCAGCACCTTGGCCATGTGCTTCAGACCTTACTGGCCACAGAAGGCTGGTGTTCAAAGTCATTCTGCAGCAGCAGAACCTTGTCTACACCTGTAGAGTACGGCGTTCGGAAGATCTCGCGATGTGACAGAAAGATAGAGAGCTAGACACCGCCTGCCTGTGACGTGTTTGTATAAAAGAACCTAACTGCGCAATAAACGAGGAAGTTGACG